GACAATTAACAAACATGTCTTTCTTTTCAAGTTTAATACTTGTGATAGACGTGAAGCTGTGGGGTACCCTGGTGGCTAAAGTGTTCACTCATCGAGCCGAACATCCAGTTCGACTCTGAGTACAAGGCCCATTGGGTACAAGGCGCGGAGCCAGAACACTACAAACGTGATGTTTAACCGCATTTCTCCACACCCAATCTCACCAACCCTCACCTCACACTCCACTTGAGCTGATGATACCTGCCATCACCGTGTACACCGTTGTTACATCCGGGTAAGAGTCACATCCCTGAGAGCGGTTATGTTCAGTAGTGTACACAGACAACTGCGATCGAAAAACAGTTGCAGATGTTGTTGTCAACGCTTTACTGACTCAGTGGGATAAAAAACTCAGAAAATGTAATTATTGATAGATATACATGGTGGTCGATGGCAGCCTTTAAGACTTCATGGAACAAAGTATTTCATACGTATTTCAATAAGAACTGACCCACTTAGAATACTTTCTTGGATATAGCTATTGCTGAAATTCGTTTACCAGCCGCTCGCCATGTAATTCCATCGTGCAGTTGGGCCTCGTAAGGCTTATGGTATAATGCGCACTTCCACTGTTGACAAAATATTGTCCATAAAAAGTTCAAACTTTAAGATTACATATTCTCCCCACAGAACAAGTCGAGCGATTGAGACGTCTATAGCATACGTTTAGAATAGCACCCATATATCGGGATACATGTTGGTCTGATTTATAACTGACAACGTAGATTATCCAGTCTGTGGATGAAATCACTAAATTGTTTTTTGTAAAACCCTACAGTATTATCAAACAATCGTCTGGACGAATTACTATCGAGCTTATGTTATTAACACGTTCACAGGATCCAATCAGGCCTGGATAACCGAGAGCAAATCAATTCAATCAAGTTTTCTTAGTGTTGCAGAGCCTAGTGGAGGATGATGAGAAACAATCGGGAGGAAATAATGCCAAAAAGTAAGAATCCAGTTTGCTTTGCAACTGACAAATAGCACTATTTCGGTGATCTATCACCCCATTGGCCGAGGCCTGATTATTGAGGCGGAGTAATATGCAGACTGGGCCTTATTTGATGTGCCTGTGCTTTTGCGTCACAAAAAGCTAGGTTTCAAATGTTGTAAGAAAACCACCACTTTTGTTTAAGTTTGAAAGGTCAACCGGATAATTGTTTTAGCCTTTTTGCAAGAGTTAATCAGGTTTGCTAAAATGCTGTTGGTTTAAGAGATTTCAGCCAATCAAACACATGTGGATAGGGAATACAATCAATCCATGGTCGTGTCATTACCTCAAGTCGGCAAGAAAGTGACAGGTGTCTGCCGAAATTAATGGCAACAAATTGTTTTGACATAACCAACAAATAGAAAATTACATGCGTTTGCAGCTTTGTGGGTGACATTGAATATCGAGGGTGAGTTTTAAAACTCATCACATAGTATAAAACACTGGCAAAGTTTTAAACATGTTATTATTCCAAATAATTTTAGATTAATCAAGTTAATTCCACAACGTTATAGGTACAGTCAGGCATGCTCTTTGTATGAAAATTCAAAGACGTTATACGACTCTTGCTTAAAGGTTGTTTAACCAAGGGTACAAAATTTAAGTCGGATGCAATTCCTTGTTTTAACGTTGTATGGCCCCGATGTGCTTCAGGTAAACAGTTGACTAGCCTTTGCATTTGTTTGTGACGGGTGCAACCTAGGGCGGGTGTAGGGACAACTTATGCTCACCTTTACTCAAACACCTGGTATCATCACGTTTTTGATAGTCATTCTTAAACACATGCCCATCATGGTATAGACGGATGTGTTTCAGGCAAACAGTTGACTAGCCTTTGCGTGTGTTTAAGATGGGCGCCACCGAGGTCGGGTGTAGGGGCAGGATACGGTACGCGAACACCTGATATCATCACTATTTAATAGTGATTGATAAACACATGATATAGTTTGCATTGTGCAATCGACTCAGCTTTCAGGGTAGATTTCTTATAAATGCGGAAAGGGTCACTGTATGATATGGAAAGCTTGCATCCGTCGCAGTGGCAGACATGTATGCGTCATTCCTATAAGTGTAAAACAGGTACATGAAACTCATATTGGACAGTGTTATAGACTCAACATAAAATGTCAAGCACTACTGGCGTAACTATAGTGCTCCTTTCAGCACTTTCGTTTGACTTCAAAGAGACCAAAGAATTAGCTAGTTGATTTCATTGAAAACAGGAGCATTTAGTACTGTCGATGACCAAGAAAGAATGACTTTTAAGGAGAAGAATTTGTTTTTTCGGACTTCAAAGCATGAGAATACGTTAGTTTCAAAAACTCCTAATCGAAATGCTCAGGAAAATTGATTTTGGAAACAAACATGAGGAATCGACATGGATAATTGCATTTTATCTCTTTACACAAAAGCGCATATACCATCTTTCAGATGAGATTGAGATCGCACATTCAAACTTGAAAACGAAATGAAAATAGAAACCGCATTTGCTCTTCATGATAGAACCTTTCTATAAACAGGCGATGTAAACGTTGAGCCTTACGTCTGAATTTTGCCAAACACTACATTAGACACTCACACGCAAATTGTTGCGTCAGTATGTGAAACTGTGCAAATGTATAAGCACTAGTACTTGCGTTGGAATTCAAAGAGAACGAGGAATTAGTTTTATTCATTTGAAAGGAAGTATTCGAAAACAAGAGCATTTAGTATTATTGTTGACCAAGGAAGGATGACTTTCAAGGAAAAAAATGTATTTTACAGACTTCAAAACATGGGCATACGTTAGTTTCAAATACTCCTGATCGAAATGCTTGGTGAAATTGATTTGTGCAAAAACCCTGAGAAATCCATATGAATAATTGCAGTTTTGTCTTTACACAAAAGCGCATATACAATCTCTTACATGACAAAGATTGAAATTGCACATTCAAACTTAAAAACGAAATAAAAGTAGAAACATCATTAGCATTTCATGACTGAACCTTTATAAAAACAGGCGGTGTAAAAGTTGCGCCTTACATTTGAGTTTTGTCAAACACTACATTGTCAAACCCAGAAAACATGACACCCAATCGCAAATTGTGGGGTTGGTATATGAAACTGGTTGATCAGGTGCGTGCAACTGTTCATGGATTTTACGAAAGTCACATCTGAGGCCTGCATCACCTCGGTCTTAATTTACATCAAGCAATGGTACAACTTGTATACCTATCTTTCTTTTTGAAAGGGTTTTACGAAGTGCACCACTTAGGCTAACCTCCCACACGAAGCCATGGTACTGTAGGAGTGTGTAAATGTATAATGCACCAAATTCACCCACGAGAGCATGCTCGAGAGCACGTTATATTGTGACCACAGTCGATGAGTCAGAATTCACTCGGTTATTATTCTGATATTATTCTGAACTCCCTGGGAATATACAACAGCAGCTGTCTATAGCGCTACATGGCCAACAGTCATCGTCTCATCCTACCGGGTACCCATTCACTGCTGGGTGAACAGAGCAAAAGCACTTAAGCCAGGAGACACTGCAATTGCTATATGTGCTCATCACATATGCTGCATGTGCTTATTCTATGACAGAAGCTCTGCAAAGTCACAAGAATGAACTTTCCGAAACACCACCCCCTACCATCCTCCAACGAACATAAGGAGCGGTGGCGCCAGCAACCCCTCTCGTGATGACAAATTATGGATGTTCTTATCAGATTAGCACTAATTTCAGTATCGCTCCGGGAAATAAAACGGATTCGGATTTTGATAATATGTTAATTGAGGAGGGGGCATCGGATATTTTATTAAACTGACTCATCCTGGAAGTGAAATCGTTACCAGTGGTCGATAGGCATTGGGATAAAAGAAACGTTATCAGCTGAATTGTTTTCGTGTTTTCATCAAAGTCTTCGTCCGATTGTGACCAAGCTATTCGTCTCATCTTCAACCTCGTCAGTTTAATTTTGATTAAAATATTTTAAATCTGAAACGTTTTTCTTTACTCTTCGCATAGACTATTCATTTACAGCATCACTATACCATAAACAGGACTCTCAAGGGATTTTACTGAAGAACGAAAGAAAATTCTTAGATATTAATTGGAAGGAATTGATTATTTTCTCTCCTAAAAAAGCACAATGCTTAAAACAGGAAGCATCCTTCGTGCTGCTTTCCTACAATTGTTTCAATGCCTCGAGCGACTTTTGGTTTCTCTTGACAATGCCCATTCATGCAATTTTAACAAAAGATTTCTCGAAACAGTTGTCAAAAAGTGTCTAGCACCTTGAGATCCGCTCTGAGGGGATAAAACTGATAATCATGACGGAAGGAGGTGGGCTTATAGCCGGGATGGAGATGTCAGTTGTATGATTATTGTTGTAGGGTTACAACCGGTAAAACCATATTGCAGAGATTGATGAAATTTTCCAATTTTTGAAAGCTCACTTGTGCTTTGGGCATTGAAGATCTTAATATCATCACGGTCATTGTATCAGTGTGTTTTATTTTCATTTTCAGCTCCCTGGGAGGTGTACAACCTAAGCGCCTGGGAGGCTCTATTGGCATCGAATACCCATTTAGTGCGTCGTGAAGAGAGCAATATTTCGACACACCAAGGCTGTTCCTTGTGCCACGTTGATAGCACCTCAGACATTGATCTGCAGAACACGGTCACCCATCCAAGTACTCTCTGTCTAATTTACTGCCTACTTAAGGGTCACGTGCTACCAGCGGCTCGTGATATATTTAGTCAAGATTACATTTGTTTTACAACATGAGAGGGAAAAAGACAAAGAAATTACCAGTCCTGTGTCATCAAAATACCTTGGTAAAAGTAGGTTTGGTATCATTGGTTTGCGTGAACAATAAGAAACAGACATCCTAGATAGCTGTCACACATTGAAGAAAGGGTGATTTCCTTTGAATGCTCGTACAAAAAAGGGTTTTTGGAACAAATTGTAATATCATAAACTATTGGGCAACAGAAAGACACTGTTTGCGTTAGAAAATTGGACTTAACCGAACAATAAAGGAAATGGGGAAACACTGAACATATTCGATCCAAAACACAACTACCCCTATCGGATAATGAGTGAGTGAGTGAGTTCACACTGTTGGCAAATATGTGAAAGGTCCAATTTTCTGAGTGAGTGAATGTGGTTTTACGCCGCTTTATGCAACAATCCAGCAATATCACGGCAAGGGACCCCAGAAAGGGCTTCACACATGGCCCGGTCTTGGCGGTGCCATTTTGTCTGGAGCAAATTTAATATTATTAAGTGGAGTCATAAACAGGAAGGAATATATCGTATTAGCTACTATAAACGCTTCAATACAGCCACGAATTTCCAAGAGGCCTTTCGTAGTATGTATAGTATGACCAGAAATTATTGAGAATTTTAGGAATGTGTTTAATTTGATTTCTAGTATAAACAACCAGTTACCTTGACCAGCTATCAAGTGCTTGGCTTCATTCAAGAGAGACAACTCCGTTCATCCTTTTTCATTAGCTTGTGAAGAGTTATCCCCCTTTGTTTACTTGCTAGCAGACAACATTTTCAGTGATCCTCAGTATGGATGATTTTAGAGAAGAGGAAGTTGATTTTATAGTATTATAACAAGGACATCAGATCAGCTAAAGTGATTTCAGGTAGAACAGGCATCCCTTTGCCCACTGTTTATCGTGTTATGAAAAATATTGCAAATGGATATGGCATTGAGCATCAAGGAGGCGCAGGTAGGCCCAGAAAATTGACTGTCGGTGACGGGAGGCGGCTTGGTATTCTTGTTTCTAAAAACAAACGAAGGAGTTTAGAAAACTTAAGGCTGGATATGATTGATAGAGGAACTGTGGCTGAGAACTGAGGACAATGTGATTTTCTCAGATGAAAGTTCTGTGTGGCTGTTTCCTAATACACTGAAATTCTTGACCAAACAAACTGAAAAACCTTTGTATCAGCGCCTAAAGTACAGTCCGAAATTTAACGTGTGGGGTGGCATATGTGTGTTAGGGGCAACGCCCCTCTGTGTATTTGAAGGGAATATGAACAGTGAGCGGTGCACAGATATTCTCGAGGGACATTTACTTCCATCTGCTCACGTGTTCTATGGAAATGTTTGGATTTTCCAGCAGGACAACGACCCAAAACATCGTTCAAAGCATTCACAGGCCTGGTTTCGGTCCCAAAATATGACATTATTAGATTGGCCAAGCTATAGCCCTGACCTAAATCCAATAGAAAATGTTTGGGAACTTATGAAGGAAGGTGTCAATAAGAAAAATCTGACAAATATTGCTGAAATGAAAGAAGAGGTGGTCCGATATTTGGACAGCATGGACCACGACTTTCTAACTTCTTTGATCAGTAGTATGCCCCGCCGCATTGAAGCCTGCATTGCTGCCCATGGTGACTTGACAAAATACTAACTGTTTACCTGTCTTTGAATCTGGAGTTATGTTCTGCTAATATTCACATTTAATACGTGAGTAATGAGTGAAAAAAAAAATTAAAAATACAATCTTTAAATTCTCAATAATTTCTGGTTGTACTGTAACTCCCTTGCCTCGGGAGGAGAATGCGTCCAATCATTGAAGACTACACAAAGACTACAACTGTCTCATGAGATTGTCTGCTGCGTGTGTACGGCCTGCAACCACCACGACCCAATGGATTAAGTTCAAACAGATCAGGAACACACTCGCAGCTTCACAAGAGCTCTGGAAGAATCTCAAATTAGTTTATCTATACTCTACGGATCCTCGCAAGAACTTAATCAATGACGTCTTGATCTTCGCCCGTCGACCTGTTTTGACAAGGTCACGTGGGCGTCGACCTCTAACCCCGTAATGACTGACAATGACGTACTTGTCTGTTTCAGTTCAGAGGTGTTAACCAAAGTGTCTGTTACGGTATTATCGCTGTCATCGGCAAGAACTAATTAATCATCGCATTGTGAAACATAATTTGTTTTCGTTTCGCTTTCTAAAAGTATATGAATAAACACAGTAAAGTATGAAAAGGAAAACAATGGCATTTCACATATATACGAATATAGGTTTTTATACCTACGATATATAAACGACGAAGTATATACCTATGTTTGACAATAATGAAATTAAGTTAATTAAATTAATAAAAAGAACCTTTACCTACCAAAATATATTGCTTATCCCTTACTTAAATTGAGAACCACAAATCATAAACTGCTATTTGAAAAGGGCGTTGGACCCATACCCCAAAAGAAAATAGAACTTGCGACCTTTGTAACTCACCAGCCATAGCAGACGAATACCACTACATTTTCCGCTGTGCATAACTAGAAATTCAAAGAATAAATCTCATACCAATTAAATATATAAAAAATGCCAGCCTCCGCTCTTTTAAATTAATTAAAATAATTGAAATCACTTGCAAAATTTAGAAATATTCCTCTGTTGTATTAAATCCTATCATGTTTCTTGCACTATTCATATGTACTGCCATTTTGTTCAACAAACTGTATGTATTATGCCACTCTTATTTTGTGATCTTATGGGGAATAAACTGTACTGTAAATGGATTTTCATTATTGACTTTTTGATACGGCTTTGATAGCAGCTACTGTATTTTGGGTCTTATGTTCGCATTGTTTTGATACGGCTTTGATAGCTGTAATTGGGGCTTTACTCTTATACCACCTTCGAATCTTATGGGGAATACAGAATCTAACCGAAACAGTACTGTAAATGGATTTTCATTATTGACTTTTTGATACGGCTTTGATAGCAGCTACTGTATTTTGGGTCTTATGTTCGCATTGTTTTGATACGGCTTTGATAGCTGTATTTTGGGTCTTAGGTTCGCATTGTTTTGATACGGCTTTGATAGCTGCATTTTGGGTCTTAGGTTGGCATTGTTTTGATACGGCTTTGATAGCTGTATTTTGGGTCTTAGGTTCGCATTGTTTTGATACGGCTTTGATAGCTGTATTTTGGGTCTTAGGTTGGCATTGTTTTGATACGTTTTTGATAGCTGTATTTTGGGTCTTAGGTTCGCATTGTTTCAGTGACGGTTTTCAGGCTTTTTGGTAAAAATTCTCATTTTCAAGTTTATGTTCAAGTCAGTTTGATATTGGATTACAGCTATTATATATATGTGCCCGTGAAAGTACATTGCCCTTTATAATCAATATTCCTGGGTGTCAAAGTAAATAAATAAAATTAGTCGTAATTTGTAAATGGGTAGGTTTTTTTGCTGTTGCATGAAATGCACGATATTGCCATTTTACAACAGTTTTTGATGAAAGAACGTCTCGTCGAAAAGATTGTGAAGCTGCTGGTTTTCAGACCGGCCTACCCATATCGTTCACAATAAAACGTCTTATAATGAATATTTAGAAACTCTTTGACATATTTTTCAGTGAACAAGTGTACTATGTCAGTTTCAAATGCAAGAGCCATTTTAGCTTTCCCCAAAAAATATACGTGCATTAAAAATCAAACAAAGGTTTCACAGATGAAAAAAACATGTGAATTCTTTCCCTTTTACTAAAAAAGATAATTTTAAATTTCATACTTTGATATTCCCAAATGTTTTGACAAACAAATCCGACTGACAATTAACATACATGTCTTTAATTTCAAGAGAGACGTAGAGCTCTGGGGTAGCCTAGTGGCTAAAGTGTATGCTCGTCGAGCACCCGGTTCGACTCTGAGTACAAGGCCCATTTCTAGTGATCCCGCCGTTTTGTAGCTGGGACATTGCTAAAAGCGCCGTAAAATCATACTAACTCACTATAAGAACTGCTGGCTTCGGGCGAAATCACCCGAAACATTGATTTCTAGGTGGGATTTGGTTTTAGATTGATCTTCACTTTTCCATTTTTAATCGACATCGAATGTTTGAACTGCCCCCTCGACACTGACAGACGTAGCTCTAAGAACACTTTGAGTAACAGGCCCCTGTAAATTTCAATCAAGCCCTGAACAGACAGAGTCAGTAGTATCTCAATTCAAGTAAAGTCCCGTGGGTGGTAGCCAAACCTAATCTCATTAAAACAAGCTCTTAGTGCTCGATACTCTTACACAAAGTTCTTAAGTCATCCAATTGCAGGTCATCTAGCAAATCAGAGAGTCGCTTACAAGATCGTCGAGGCGAAAATGCGAATGTGTTTTCCAGTCATGTAATCTCGAAAAGGTTAACACGAGGCATTCCGAACGACAGTTGATGCTAGACTTATTCTGTCTCTCACTACAGTGGAAATGAACTTGTGAAATGGAAAACTTTCCGTAACCACTGAGAAAAAAATGTTGTCCAGTTTCTGCCTTTTTCTGATTTTTTTCGTTTGTTCAGTTCAACTTTGAAAAGTTTGCCAAAATTATTTTCTAAACCGGAATCCTAGCAGGTGAGTGGGTGAGTGAGTTTAGTTTTACGCCGCACTCAGCAATATTCCACCTATATAGCGGCAGTCTAAAAATAATCGAGTCTGGACCAGACAATCCAGTGATCAACAGCATAAGCATAGACCTTCGCAATTGGGAACCGATCACAAGTGAGCCCGACCACCCGATCCCGTTAGTCGCCTCTGACGACAAGCATGGGTTACTGAAGATTCATTCTAACCCGGACCTTCACGGGTTGGTACATTATGAAGTTCACTGATGATATGGAGAAGCTTGTCTGTCAACTTTATCGTTGTTTTTCAGACTGAAGGAGAGAGGGGTAAGCCTATATTATCCCTTTCTAAATATTGGAAAAGATCCACCAAGGCTCTTGGTATTACTGAAAAAAAACTGGCATACATTCTGCAGAAGCGAGATGAGATAGACAGGACAGGTAATGGGGTCGTCTCAAAGACAATTTCAGTAAATATACTTAACAGTTTTCAAAAGGAAATTGTATGAAATGTAATCCGAAGATTGTTTGAAGAAAACAAGTTCATTTCATTAAGATTATTTAAACCATACATGAAGAAAGAACATTCGTTGATTGTGTCCAAACAT